ATAAATCATGCTGCTATAAAGACACATGCACATGTATGTTTATTGTGGCATTATTCACAATAGCAAAGACTTGGAACCAACCCCAATGTCCATCAGTGACAGACTGGATTAAGAAAATATGGCACATATACACCATGGAATACTATGCAGCCATAAAAAAGGATGAGTTCATGTCCTTTGTAGGGACATGGATGCATCTGGAAACCATCATTTTCAGCAAACTTTCACAAGAACAGAAAACCAAACACTGCATGTTCTCACTCATAGGTGGGAACTGAACAATAAGAACACTTGGACACAGGGAGGGGAACATCAGACACCAGGGCCTGTTGTAGGGTGGAGGTGGGGGGAGGGATAGCATTAGGAGATATCTCTAATGTAAATGACAAGTTAATGGATGCAGCACACCAACAAGGCACATGTATACATATGTAACAAACCTGTAAATTGTACACATGTACCCTAGAACTTAAAGTATAATAATAATAAAAAAGAACCTGGAGAAATTATCAAGTAAGCATCATATTTAATGAATTTAACTATGGTGGAATTGTGGGAAAAATTTTCCTGTACAGGGATGATGACTCAGGAAATGATGCAGACAGAGATAGAAAAACAAATGTCATTGTAACACAGGTATTTAAATTGTATTTAAATATACAGACTTTTGAATTTATAGAAAATTTTCAAGTATGAAATTGTTATGCAACCTAAAAGTCTCAAAGTTCAAATAATTTTTTGAGTGTTACATTTATAAATTGTGTATTAATGCAATTCAAATTTATTCCTAAAAATATTTTAACTAAAGGAGAAACTCATGGGGCCTGATATTAGAGTTTTAGGAAATGTACATATGGGATAAACTTACATAGGCTGAAATTAAGTGAAACCTTGCTTCTCAATGTTGAGATGGATTAGCCATTTTAACATAAAGTAGAAGCTTCTAAGAAATGCAGAATCTCAACTTCCCCACCCTCATTCCACCTACCCCACCCACTCAATCAGATCCTGCATTTCAATAAGATTTATTTAGTGCAATAACTTTTTTACTTATCAAAGTTGAGAAGCACTAGACTAAATGATGAAGAGAAAAGAGGCTGCTTAGGATAGGGAAATAAAAGGTTAAAGTTAACTTAAGTATTATGATACTTTCTTAGCGTGTCATACAGTTAGTTACCTGTCATCTTTCCTCATCAGTTCAACTTGTTTTATGGGGATGTTTATGTGGGAAAATATCTTTGCTTTTGTAATTTATGTGGGAAAATATCTTTGCTTTTGTAATTTTACTTAAGTAAAATCTGGGCTCCTTTTATTTCAACTAGCTTTTCCACTATTGTTGTTATGATAAGTACAGGCTACTTATAAACATGATTAGTTCAATGAGAACTTTTAGAGTATTGCTGACCTAAATCTGGACATCTACACAATCATTAATTCTTACCAAAATGCTACAAGGCAATATAAGCATAATTAGCCTCCCTGATCCCTGAACATAGCCTAATATCATTCACTCAATCAGAATCATACTGGAAATGATATAACCAACTATAGCAGGTAGTAGATGTCCAGTCACACTACTATTGCTTTTAGCCAGATGTCTCTGGTCCTTGTGAGTTCCTTTAGTCCTATATGGTGAAATAGCAACAGAGAGAACCAACTCACTCACTCAAGGCAGATTTCTTATTTCTAGATTTGTCCCGAAACCAACAGATCTAGCTCTCTCTTTAAACACCATGAAATTTAAACAAACGAAACTCACAAAATAAAACAGCAGCAGCAGCAGCAGCAACAACAATGAAATCTTAAAATAGTAAATATAAGTTTCAAGCATCGAAACCCCCTCTCCAACCAAAATCTCTCTTCTTCAATAAAGTTCCCAGGAGGAACCCAATTTCTAGATTGGTATCCAATATTTGGGATCATTTGATTCAAGACTGAAGTACTTAAAATGGCTTTTAAAGAAGGAAAAAAGGTTAGATTTCCAGAGAAAAGTGTAACATTTTTTAAGTTGAACATTATGAGGGATTTGATGGGGGCAGCTTTGCAAGTAGAACTGGAGACTGGTCCACCGTTTAGCCTTTTTACAAAAGACTGCAAAGGTTGTTTGTTTCCAAACACCAAGAAGTTACCAAGTTCACCAGTCCAAATGCAAATGACTCACACTAGGAACCCTAATAGTGCTGCTATTTGCAAAGGGGTGGGGCTGAGATGATGCAGGACCCTATTTTCCCAGGTGGCATCTTAAGTATGGTTGATTCTACCTTCAGCCCCACATTGAAAAGTACAGTGTAAACACAGCTAAGGGACCGCCTCCTTCAAATTACACACAAGGCACACCTACTTATAGGAGGTGTTGTGAAAGCCAGGTGGGGCTTTGTCTTTCAAGTCCCTGCATCCAAGAATAAGCATGCTCTGTACCAAAAAAAAAAAAAGAAAAAGAAAAAAAGAAAAAAAAAGCAAGGGTGATGCAACTGCATTCATTGTCCCTAAAGGGAGAACATGCACTAACTCTCAGATCCAAGGATAAAGGGAATCCCCCTTTAAGAAAAGACGTTGGCATTATGTGGGGATTGGGAGCATGCCAGAACAACCACACTTTTTTACAAAAGAGAGAAAGAGAAAAAAAGTTAAGACCCATCTGTCTTATTTCAGTCTCTTTCTTCAGAACTGACAACTTTAATCAACAGGTTGCTTTCAGAGTATTGCTGGACATCTTGACTTTCTGCCATGAAATGCTATGGGAATTCTGAGAGTTGAGAGCCAACACCCCACTAGACACCAGTGCTGCATAACCACGCTTTTAATAGACCCCAGAGCTGTGGTGACGGCATGCCCTTCCCAGTTTTTCCACAGATGGTGCTCCTGAAATTTTCCATAGTCAGTGTATTCTTGTGGTTAATTAGTTATCTGAGCAATTTCCATTGTAGAAAGAGTATCTCTACATAATTAAACCCATCTTAGGACCAAACTGCTGGGCTTCAATGTCATTAATTCAGAAAGGCTAAAATGAAAATGAGATGAATAATTCTCACCTGCTGAAGGGACCGCACTAGATTAAATCCTATCCTCTGAAATACATAGAACATTAAATTTAGAAAAACGAGAGGTGAAAACAGGTGGTGGAAGAAACTGGAAAGGTAAGTTGCCTCTAGAGACCAAAAAATAACACTCTTTTTCAAACTATTATCAAGAAATCTTGGGGGAAAGATAAAATTAGCAAGAGAAGGCTAATAGCTCTCTGTTACTCACCTTTTATGAAACCATTTTCAGGGATCAGTTTGTTAAATTCCACTGAAACGCGGAGGTACACAGCACAGCCCTTCTTCTGGGATGCACAGTCATGCCATACAGAAGGGTGTGGGTAGAGACACCAAAACATGTGTGGACCTGCAACCCTTTCTGTAGAAACTCAGCATTCTGAGTAGTAAGAAGGATTAACCTTGTACGCACATGGAGAATACTGGTGGCTCCACACATCCAGTTGTCTTTCAGGTTATTTTTGCATCCCACTCTATAATTTCTTTTAATTACTTACTGTAAAGCACAGGAAAGTGCTCATTACTTGTAGCTTAATGCAGGAGGAAATATAATTGAATATGTTCTTCTAGCCACTGCTCTACCCCAGCTCCCAGCTCTTCTGTAGTGTCACTGTTCATCTCAACAGCATGAGTAAGGCAGTTTCCAGGCCCTGTGCATAATGAGCCATGTGGACCCTATTCAAGAAACTGGCTGTACTCCAGAATCACTATAAAATATAAGGAAAATATTAACATCTTAGATGACAAAAGATCCATATGGCTGGCCAGAAAATATCCACATCATTTAAGCCATTAGAATGAACCTATATGGAAACATTCAATTTGGCGGTACTGTGAACAACAGGACTGTGAAAACATCTGTTTGTCTCCACCCATTTTCACTAAACACTGGTTCCTATAGAAGACATGCGAACTCAAATACCAACATATTTCATCTGAGCATGGGACAGGGACTCCATTTTTACATAGTTGCTATAATAAATACAATATTTGCTGGTGATAAGATTTTGGAAGATGCTCGGGGCAGCTGGAAAAATAAGTAAAATGTTTCTCTTTGTATTAACCTTGATAAAAAAAAATAGCTAACATTTATTAATGGTGAGGTAGATAATTTGATTATCCACCACTTATAGCTGAGGAAACTGAGGCCCAGAGAGTTTCGGTGGATTCCCTAAGATCACATACCCATCATGTGGTGGAGAGGGAATATGAACCAGTGCTGGCTTGCTATGCCTCTTTCCATATGGGGTCAGACATGGATGTGGTGTCTTATTTGTGAGGGAGGTCTACTTGGCAGAGATATCCTTCAGACCCTGTATGCCAGTTTTATATTTATTTAAACAAAGCCCCATATGAGCATTTCTGATAAGCAGTTTGTTTACACACTAATTCCACAGAGGTTAAATATAATCCTAATGTTTCTTTGTTGCTACTCTGTTCCCAGTATTGAATTATTACCACAAGGTACCAACCATACACGCATACTTAATAGGGCATCGTGTCAAAACTATGCATGAGGGTCATTTGTTTGAGATGTCGGAACATTTTCCCCTGAGAAGATCTCATTGGGCATTGAAACAGAACCACATGCTTTTCAGACCAGCAACCGCGACTACCAAATACTCTGCTGTCAACTCTACTTGAGTAAGAATGCTTTCAATTAAGACCTAAGTGTCAACATGCCTTTAAAAAAATTGTGGTGACATAAAATCTTTCCTTTTAGTGCCCAACAGAATCCCTTCAAAGCCTGGTGGTCTAACACCCTATGCTACATGACTTGTGATCCACCCATTTGTCGTGTTCTTTGGGAATGTGCCTGAGGGGCTGAGATGTGACTTGAAAAGAATGGTAGAACAAGATAATCTCAAATTTATTATCAAGGAATAGTTCAGACAACTACTTCAGACGACAGAGACAGCAGAACAGATGGTCCGGTGTGGATAGAGCATCAGACACTCACAGACTGTGCCAACAAGAGCCATCGAGTCAAAACAGCCAAAGGAAGGAGGATCATGGATTGGGTTCTCTCACACCAAACTGATGCCCAGAGGCCCTTGGCATGAATAACAAAGGCAACCAGTCCCACAAGCCATACTGAGTTAATACAAAACCTATACCTGGGCTGACATCCCAAATATGTGTGGCAAGTTAGATGATGATGGCACAAAAGACAGAACACCTTTGCTTCTAGCCATTGTCAGCTCTTGGTAGACAGCAGACTTTTAGAGGAGCAGCTGCAAGGAGCCTGAGAACAAAACTGGAAATGCCTGTTATGAAAGCCTTCACAGGTATTATTAACAAAAGAAAATGTGTATTTGTAAATGATGTGTCAGTTAGATTTTGGCAGTCCATTCTTATGCCCAGGAATGACCTCTTGTATAGGCTGGATACAGTCATCAATGCAACTGTCCAGGTGCAACTATTCTATAAAGGGGAAGAGGAGTGACTTTCCCCTGTAAAGTAGCCCTATCAAAATTCTGTAAGAAAAGATTGTCCATTTAAATTGAATAACCACTGTGCCCGGCTCCATTTACCACACTTTTCTATGCAGTGGAACTGAAGGGGATTTTTTTTTTCTGTCCTCAGAGAAAAATAAGACTGAGAATCAAACTTTCTAATGAGAATGGTAAGGAGTTATGTGAGGATGACCTGAAATATAGGCTTCTCAAAATGCGGAGATGTTATCTAGGCCGTAAATCATGGTGTTTTAATATGATCCCCTATTTGCCTAATGCAGGAAACCACTTGGCAACTTTAAGGAAGAAGTCTAGCAATACTGCATCATAGTTCAATGTTTATATTGTACTTGGACAGTTTAAATTTATCTTATAAAGTACTAATTAATTGCAAATGTTGGGTAAGTGTAAAATCATTCCTCAAAAAAGCATCCCTTGAGTATGAAAGTTCCAAGCTTCGCAAGACATCCCTGTGATTTGGGATACATCTCTTGAACTCAGTCCTGAAAATAATGTTTTGTTTTGTTTTGTTTTTCCTGAGATGGAGTCTCACTCTGTTGCCCAGGCTGGAGTGCAGTGACCTGATCTTGGCTCACTGCCAGCTCTGCCTCCCAGGTTCACGCCATTCTCCTGCCTCAGCCTCCTGAGTAGCTGGGACTACAGGTGCCCACCACCATGCCCAGCTAATTTTTTGTATTTTTAGTAGAGATGGGGTTTCACCGTGTTAGCCAGGATGGTCTCGATCTCTTGACCTTGTGATCCACCCGCCTTGGCCTCCCAAAGTGCTGGGATTACAGGCGTGAGCCACTGCGCCCGGCCGAAAATAATGTTAATAGCTGAGAAAAGAGCATTGAAAGCCTCATACACAGTGTGTTGTGGTGAGACAATTTTCTTTTTGGTTCTAAAAAACACTGTTGTGCTCTTTAGATCCAGCGTGGCTAGTTATGTGAATAATGAATGCATATTCAATTTTCTGCTACAGGAAATTCTGCAAGTGCCAACATGGGTCCATTCTGTGTGTGTCACTAGAGCTGGTGCAAGCCCATGACCATGGTGAGGCACTGTTTCCACTGGAACTAATCTGATACCTGCACCAGCTCTTGGAACTGTGCAGTGTTCCCACTGCAAACTACCGATGAGGTAAATAACTTCTCACCTCCTATTTCTCATCTCATCTCACACACTCTGTTTGATGAGGCTATGGAGAAACACATATTTTCATACACTAATGGTGGGAGTACAAACAATTCAAGCCTTTTGCAGGACAATTAGGCAATATCTATCAAAATTATACATGATTTTTCCTGCTAGCCCAGCAATTCTACTTCTGGGAATAAACTGACAGATATAGTTGCATATATACAAAATGATGGAAAGCTCTCTGGAATATATTAGTAAGTGATAAAACAAGGTGTAAAATAGTGTATATATGGCTACTACTTTTTGTTTTAAAAATGGGGGAAAATGGCAGAGCTTGCGGTGAGCCGAGATCGTGCCACTGCACTCCAGCCTGGGCAACAGAGCAAGACTCTGTCCCCAAAAAAATAAAAGTGTGTGTGTGGGGGGCGGGAATAATGGTACATATTCATTTTTACCTGTATCTATATAAAACACACTATCAAGGATTCACAAGAAACTAATACAAATGATCATCTTATAGATGGTATGTATTGGGGGATACTGGGGTGAGCAACATATAAGTGGGGCAAGACTTTTCAGTGTAAACTTCCTTGAAATTTTATTTTGATTTTTGAATAATGTAAATTAACTGTCAAATAATTAAATTAAAAATAACCAATTTTTTAACCAAACATTTAATCTAGTGGCTTTACTTTTGACACAAGACAATCTCCACCGAACCACCAAATCTCCACCAATCACCAAAAACAGAGATTTACACCAGTTCGTTTGCTAGTTTTTCCTGGTAGTGACTACAATTAAGAAGTCCTGTGGGTGCCATCTCAGTTTGGGAGATATTTCCCTAGAAGAAATTGATTCAAGGTGGGACAATTGGGTATAGAGAATAGTCCCTGGGACCGGGGGCTGAAGTCCTGAGTTCTGGTCCTGCCTAACTCCCGCTTTCTATTAAGCTGACCCTGTGAAACAGCTGATACATGACCATTTTTTACCAACAAATTAGACAAATTCATGGGTGAACAAATTTAAAAACCCTGTTGCCTCACCACTATGATATGATGAGGACACATATACTCACCCACCCTGCCTAACTCACAGCATCACACCAGGGATTGTCAACATATGGGAAAGAGCTTTGTACACTATAAAGTTCAACCCCACAAACAGCAGCTGTGAAACACAACACAACCCTGAGGGGGTGGCCATGGCCAAACACAGGAGGGGAAAATAACCCAGCCACAAAAGCATCTGAGATACTGAGATATTGCAGAGGAATGAAATCTTCCAAAAGATGGAATCTAAACATAAACAGACATCAAGAGCAGGACTTGCAGTGGAAGATGTGGTTAAATGACTCCACATGTGGTCATCTGCCATTGAATACACTGCAAATTCTGTAAAGCCTACTAAGGGAAATTAGGGAGATGAAACTGGGAGCTTACTGTAAAGATACTGATATGAACACAAATGTGAGATCAGTGTTGAAAGATGGACCCAAAAGGATGGCTCTTAGTCCTTGTAACATATAGTTGTTGGAGACATGTGTCTGTCATACACAGATAGGCCTCCAACTCACCTCTGAAATCAGATGCAAACTTCAAATACTTTTGAAAAGGCTCCCTAGAGGACCTTTTACCCCAAATGTAGAGATTAAATGAAAAAACCACTCTTTAAAGAGGGTAAAAACACACACACACACACACACACTCAAAAAACTTCTCCTTTCCACATGTATAGTCATCTGGAAAACAGATCTCCCATTAAACAGATGGTCAAAGCTGTACCACAACATTAAAGTAAGCACAAAAATTCAAGAGTTCCTTTCCTCACCCTCCTAAAATGAAACATCCCAGTAGGCTAGAAATAACCTCATGAGGAAGTTCATTGAAGGTACTCCCACTTGGCAATGCTATACAGACACTCCCACTGGCAATGCTAGTTAAGAAACTAGTTACTTGGAACTCAGAAAAAATAAGAACTATTTTGATTAGGCAAGGCCCCTGTGAAAGGTGCCTAGTTCCAGCTGGGTCTCAGTAGTCTGATGGTGTCATGCACTCCTGGACCTCCTCTTAATGAAACAAGGGATCTTGACTTCGGGCCCCATGCTGAGAAACTCTGAAGCCACTTTGGGCCAAATATAATGTCCTCTCACTTCTAGCTTCATAGCAGACCATGTTTCCGTATAGAAATTTCTCTAGGAAGCTTACTATCCTATGTTATCTCAAGCCGGGGCCTTCTCTTACACAAGAGCCTTAAACTGCCTCTGAGTAAGAATTAAAGATATGTTATATTTTTGTGAATTATTCATTTATACATTCAGCAAAGGTTATTAAAAAGGATGTACTATTAGGAAGGAAGTTTGGATGTACTTTGCTTTAGGAAAATCATTTTCAAGGTTGCTTCATGCAAAGTGGGAATAATTAACTTGGTATCTCAGTGGATTTGCTAAGTGATTACCCCACGTTTAAATTGTCACTGATTTTCAAGTATGATAAGAAAACCAGAGACCCAAGGAGGTGGACACATTCCCACCTGTCAATAGCCCTCAAGAGAAGTGCTTCAGTATTACCCCAAATGGCCAACTTTGCATGGTTAATCATTTAGTTAGAGGCTCACAAGATCAAAAACAATTCTTTAAAAACTATTTATGTGAACACAGGGACAATGAGCTGACACCTTCAAGGTGCATGTCAGGGGCAGAAATACAAGTTCCTGTTTCACCAGCAGAGCTCCAGTCGCTCAGTTGAAGCTGAAAGTCAGAACCAGCTGTTTCTGTCATTCCCTCATATGAAAAGAACTCAGCTGTAGACCTTCTTTACTCCATGAGAAAAAAAAATTAAAAACCCACAAATAGTTTTTAGGTTTCATTTTTGCCTCTGCTTCCTCCAGAGCTACAAAGGTCACCCAAATTTCTGTGACGAGGTTATTTAGGAGAGCCTTTCTTTTGGATGTCAACTTGTCAAACTTGTAGTTCAGATGAGTGTGATGTAGTCTTCTCCTAAAATTTACTTTTGCACTATTTGTTCATATAATAGACACTCTCCGAGGACAGGCACTGAGGACATCAACATAAATAAAACTGAATTTCTGCCCTTGGGGACTGCAGTGTTAAAGGTGGGTTAGATCCCAAAACCAACAATACAGTGCAATGTGGTACATGCTGTAACTAACATGCACAAAGCACATTCCCAAAAAAAGAGAATGAAAAGAGGGAGGAAAGTGGCAGAGGAGAAGAGCCTTTGGCCCAAGTTTTTGTTCAATAAAAATCATATTTTGTAGATCAGAAGATTATATGATCTGCTAACCCCTTAGCATGTATAGCTCATGAAGCAAGACAAAGTTCCCATGAAGAGTTCGACATCAGCAAGCCTCTGGGGCAAGTAAGCTGGAAATGATAACCCATTTATGGATACCTACCTAGAACTGATTTCCTATTCAGAGTGCCTTCCTAGCTGATAAGAACAATACTGAAATCTTTCTTTTCCGTGAGGGAAAAACATGTTGAATCATTTAGCAAGTACCTACAGAGCCACCTACTATTTATGTGCCCAGCAGTCTACTGTGTGCTATCAGGAGTAAGAAAATGTAGAAATATTCTTGCTTTCAAAGGGTTTACAATCTAATTGTAGAGATAATACTAAAATACATGAGAGGAAAAAAGGCAAACTTAGCTTCTCTGGGATAAGGACTATATCTCATGCAACTTTTAAAAAATTACCATTTATTCAACTTCCTACCACCATTACATACTTGTGGTAATCAACTATCTTCCTTCTCCCCTTGGGATTTTGAATTGGGAACAGAATAGAAACAAGCTGCCAAATAAGAATCAAAATACAGGGTCAGCCTCAATTTCAGTGCAAGTGGTCCATTGCTTTGGTTCACAGCCTCTACAGTCCAGAAAATGAAAGATTAAGGATTTCATCAATCAGATTAACCTCTCCTCTTTTCATGGAAAGAACAAGTAATGGGGATAAGAGAAGGGCCTAGACTATTCCCCGGGAAGTGTTACTTATTAGGAAGCAAGTTCCCTTGTGGAAACACAAGGATGGGGGAAAGGGATTTCCCTCAACATTGTTGTACCTACGCACAGAGAATTCAAGTAACTTGCCAGACATCACAGAGCTAGTAAGTGGTGAGCCTTAAATCAAACTTAATCATCAGGTCAAGGAACACAGGTACAGGCAGGGGCTGCCTCATGAAGTTTCTATTTAGGAAATGTGTCTTTCAAGTCAACAGACTGTCCTGAGTAGGACAGTCTAGAACATTTTTCTAGACAAAAACATCATATCCACAACTTCCAGCCTAGAATCTGATACAGCAAAGACACACAATAATTATTTGTTATAGAATTGCGTATACAATTAATTACCAAATTGTGAGTTACAGACCACCTAGGAACTCAGATGGGGCAGGTTTATTATTATGGGCAAGAGTCTTTCTAGAAACAGAATTCCAGCTGGGTCTTGAAGAATGAGCAGAATTAAGATGAATAAAGAGCAGAAAAAGTCATGAATAAACAAATGAGACTCAGAATTACAACAGAACAGTTTTAGTCTTGTAAACTTTGCTATAAAGTGAAGCATATTTAGGTATGAAGCATGCTGATTAAACTTTTTATTGTTTTAGTACAAGTCTAAAAAAAAGTATCTTTTTGGGGGAGCTGGAAAGTACTACTAATAAAAACAGTGGCTGAAATTCATTAACCATTTACTATGCCAAGCACTGCTCTAAGCACTTCACAGGCACTAACACATTTAATCCCTACCAATACCCTGTTGAGAGGTTGAGATACAGAGAATTTAAATTACTTGCCCAAGGTCACAGACCTAGTAAGTGTTAGGCCTGGAGTCAAACTCAATCCTCCTCTGGCTCAGGAATATTGTTCCAGACCTTTGCTCTTACCTGGAAGTTTCTAATTAGAAAATTTCTTTCAAGTCATCTTCAGCAGTTCTCCCATCTCAAAGTGTCTAAATTTCTGATTATTACAAGACTGCAAATCCCTTCTAGCCATGCTCTAATGCAAGTACTTGGATAGTGAAATAAACAATAAGTCTCTCTAAATCACAGAATATTCAGTTTATTTGATTTTAGTTCAGCAATTCTTAAATTTTCCTATACATCCAAACCACCTGTAGAAGTTTCTAAACCTGACATAGGCCCAGGGACCCAATACCAAACTTACAAATCTTGGAGACTAAGATCTTATATGTATATATATTTTAAAGATTCAAGGGTAATTCTGATGGTTAGTGTGTTTGAGAATCACTGCTGTATGCTGTGTTCTATTTTGTTAGTATTTCTATTATTATTATTATTATTATTATTATTATTATACTTTTAAGTCCTGGGATACATGTGCAGAATGTGCAGGTTTGTTACATAGGTATACACGTGCCGTGGTGGTTTGCTGCACTCATCAACTTGTCATCTACATTAGGTATTTCTCCTAATGCTAGCCCTCCCTCCCCTACCCTCCTACCCCCTGACAGGCCCCATTCAGTGTGTGATGTTCCCCTCCCTGTGTCCATGTCTTCTCATTGTTCAACTCCCACTTAAGAGTGAGAACATGTGGTGTTTGGTTTTCTGTTCCTGAGTTAGTTTGCCAAGAATGATGGTTTCCAGCTTCATCCATGTCCCTGCAAAGGACATGAACTCATCCTTTTTATGGCTGCATTAGTATTCATGGTGTTATGTGCCACATTTTCTTTATCAGTCTATTGCATGATGGGGCATTTGGGTTGGTTCCAGTCTTTGCTATTGGTGAATAGTTGCCACAATAAACATACATTGTTGCCATGCGTCTTTATAGTAGCATGTTTATATCCTTTGGGGTATTATACCAGTATTTGGGATTGCTGGTCAAGGATATTTGCTGGTTCTAGATCTTTGAGGAACATCGCACAGAGTGGTCTTCCACAATGGTTGAAACTATTTACACTCCCAGCCCCAAGACGTGTAAAAGTGTTCCTAGCTTTCTCTACATCCCTCTCCAGGAGCTGTGGGTTTCCTGACTTTTTAATGATCGCCCTTTAACTGGCATTAGGATCGATATCTTCATTGTGTTTTTGATGTAGCATTTGTCTAATGAGTGGATGATTGAGCTGTTTTTTCGTATGTTTAATGGGGCAGATAAATGTCTTCTTTTGGCCATCTGTTCATGTTATCCTTGGTTCACTTTTTTGTGGCGCTTTTTTTTTTTTTTCCTTGTTAAATTTGTTTAAGTTCCTTGTAGATTCTGGATATTAGCCCTTTGTCAGTTGGGTAGATTGCAAAAATTTCACCCATTCTGTAGGTTGCCTGTTCACTCTGATGTTAGTTTCTTTTTCTGTGCAGAAGCTCTTTAGTTTAATTAGATCCCATTTGTCAATTTTGGCTTTTGTTGCCATTGCTTTTGGTGTTTTAGTCATGAAGTCTTTGCCATGCCTATGTCCTGAATGGTATTGCCTAGGTTTTCTTCTAGGATTTTTATGGTTTTAGGTTTTACGTTTAAGTCTTTAATCCATCTTGAATTAATTTTTGTATAAAGTGTAAGGAAGGGGATCAGTTTCAGTTTTCTGCATATGGCTAGCCAGTTTTCCCAACATCATTTATTAAATAGGTAATCCTTTCCGCATTGCTTGTTTTTGTCATGTTTGTGAAAGATCAGATGGTTGTAGATGTGTGGCGTTATTTCTGAGGCCTCTGTTCTGTGCCATTAGTCTATGTACCTGTTTTTGTACCAGTACTGTGCTGTTTTGGTTATTTTAGACTTGTAGTATAGCTTGAAGTCAGGTATCGTGATGCCTCCAGCTTTGTTCTTTTTGCTTAGGATTGTCTTGGCCATATGGGCTCTTTTATGGTTCCATATGAAATTTAAAGTAGTTTTTTTCTAAATCTACGAAGAAAGTCATTGGTAGCTTGATGGGGATAGCACTGGATCTGTAAATTACTTTGGGCAGTATGGCCATTTTCACAATACTGATTCTTCCTATCCATAAGAATGGAATGTTCTTCCATTCGTTTGTGTCCTCTCTTATTTCCTTGAGCAGTGGTTTGTAGTTCTCCTTGAAGAGGTCCTTCACATCCCTTGTAAGTTGTATTCCTAGGCATTTTATTCTCTTTGTAGCAATTGTGAATGGGAGTTCACTCATGACTTGGCTCTCTGTTTGTCATTATTGGTGTATCGGAATGCTTGTGATTTTTGCACATTGGTTTTGCATCCTGAGACTTTGCTGAAGTTGCTTATTAGCTTAAGGAGATTTTGGTCTGAGATGATGGGGTTTTCTAAATATACAATCATGTCATCTGAAAACAGATACAATTTGACTTCCTCTCTCCCTATTTGAATACACTTTGTTTCTTTCTTTTGCCTGATTGCCCTGACCAGAACCTCCAATACTATGTTGAATGGGAGTGGTAAGAGAGGGCATCCTTGTCTTGTGCCTGTTTTCAAAGGAATGCTTCCAGTTTTTGCCCATTCAGTATGATATTGGCTGTGGGTTTGTCATAAATAGCTCTTACTATTTTGAGATACGTTCCATCAATACCTAGTTTATTGAGAGTTTTTTGCATGAAGGGTGTTGAATTTTATCAAAGGCCTTTTCTGCATCTATTGAAATAATCATGTGGTTTTTGTCATTGCCTCTCTTTATGAAATAGATTATGTTTATTGATTTGCATATGTTGAACCAGCCTTGCATCCCAAGGATGAAGCCGACTTATCATGGCGGATAAGCTTTTTGATGTGCTGCTGGATTTGGTTTAGCAGTATTTTACTGAGGATTTTTGCATCAATGTTCATTAGGGATATTGGCCTGAAATTTTCTTTTTTTGTTGTGTCTCTGACAGGTTTTGGTATCAGGATGATGCTGGCATCATAAAATGAGTTAGGGAGGATTCCCTCTTTTTCTATTGATAGGAATAGTTTCAGAAGGAATGGTACTAGCTCCTCTTTGTAACTCTGGTAGAATTTGGCTGTGAATCCATCTGGTCCTAGGCTTTTTTTGGTTGGTAGGCTGTTAATTACTGCCTCCATTTCAGAGCCTGTTATTGGTCTACTCAGAGATTCAACTTCTTCCTGGTTTGGTCTTGGGAGGGTGTATGTGTCCAGGAATTTCTCCATTTCGTCTAGACTTTCTAGTTTATTTGCAAAGAGGTGTTTATAGTATTCTCTGATGGTAGATTATATTTTTGTGGGATCAGTGGTGATATCCTCTTTATCATTTTTTATTGCATCTATTTGATTCTTCTTTCTTTTCTTATTAGTCTGGCTAGCGGTCTATTTTGCTAATCTTTTCAAAAAACCAGCTCCTGGATTCATTGATTTTTTTGAAGGGTTTTTTGTGTCTCATCTCCTTCAGTTCTGCTCCGATCTTAGTTATTTCTTGTCTTCTGCTAGCTTTTGAAGTATTTGCTCTTGCTTCTCTAGTTCTTTTAATTGTGATGTTAGGGTGACGATTTTAGCTCTTTCCTGCTTTCTCTTGTGGGCATTTAGTGCTATAAATTTCCTCTAAACACTGCTTTAGCTGTGTCCCAGAGATTCTGGTATGTTGTATCTTTATTCTAATTGGTTTCAAATAACATATTTATTTCTGCCTTAATTTCATTACTTATCCAGTAGTCATTCAGGGGCAGGTTGTTCAGTTTCCACTGTAGTTGTATTGTTTTGAGTTAGTTTCTTAATCCCGTGTTCTAATTTGATTGCACTTTGGTCTGAGAGATTGTTATTTCCATTCTTTTGCATTTGATGAGGAGTGTTTTACTTCCAATTATGTGGTCAATTTTAGAATAAGTGTGAAGTGGTGCTGAGAAGAATGTATATTCTGTTGATATGGCGTGGAGAGTTCTGTAGATGTCTATTAGGTCCACTTGGTCCAGAGCTAGTCCTGAATATCCTCTTTAATTTTCTGTCTTGTTGATCTAATATTGACATTGGGGTGTTAAAGTCTCCTACTATTATTGTGTGGGAGTCTAGGTCTCTTTGTGAGTCTCTAAGAACTTGCTTTATGAATCTGGGTGCTCCTATATTGGGTGCATATATATTTAGGATAGTTAGCTCTTCTTGTTGCATTGTGTAATGCCCTTCTTTGTGTTTTTTGATCTTTGTGGGTTTAAAGTCTGTTTTATCAGAGACTAGGATTGCAACCCCTGCTTTTTTTTTTTTTTTTTTTGCTTTCCATTTGCTTGGTAAATATTCCTCCATCCCTTTGTTTTCAGCCTATGTGTGTCTTTGCATGTGACATGGGTCTCCTGAATATAGCACACTGATGGGTCTTGACTCTTTATCCAATTTGCCAGTCTGTGTCTTTTAATTGAGGCATTTAGCCCATTTATATTTAAGGTTAATATTGTTATGTGTGAATTTGATCCTGTCATTATGATGCTAGCTGGTTATTTTGCCTCTTAGTTGATGCAGTTTCTTCATAGTGTCCATGATCTTTACAATTTGGTATGTTTCTGCAGTGGCTGGCACTGGTTTTCCTTTCCATATTTAGTGCTTCCTTCAGGAGCTCTTGTAAGGCAGGCCTGGTGGTGACAAAATCAGCATTTTCTAGTCTGCAAAGGATTTTATTTCTCCTTCACTTCTGAAGCTTAGTTTGGCTGGATATGAAATTCTGGATTAAAAATTCTTTTCTTTAAGAATGTTGAATATTGGCCCCCACTCTCTTCTGCCTTGTAGGCTTGTAGGGTTTCTGCTGAGAGATCCACTCTTAGTCCGATAGGCTTCCCTTTGTGGGTAATCTGACCTTTCTCTCGCTGCCCTTAACATTTTTTCCTGCATTTCAACCTTGGTGAATATGACAATTACTGGTCTTGAGGTTGCTGTTCTCAAGGAGTATCTTTGTGGTGTTTGAATGTTGGCTTGTCTTGCTAGGTTGGGGAAGTTCTCCTGGATAATATCCTGAGGAGTGTTTTCCAACTTGGTTCCATTCTCCCCATCACTTTCAGGTACACCAATCAAATGTAGCTTTGGTCTTTTCATATAGTCCCACATTTCTTGGAGCCTTGTTCATTCCTTTTCATTCTTTTTTCTCTAATCTTTTCTTCATGCTTTATTTCATTAAGTTGATCTTCAATCTCTGATATCCTTTTGTCTGCTTGATTGATTCGGTTATTGAAGCATGTGTATGCTTCACCAAGTTCTCGTACTGTGTTTTTCAGCTCTATCATTTATGTTCTTCTCTGAACTAGTTATCCTAGTTAACAATTCCTCCAACCTTTTTTCAAGGTTCTTAGCTTCCTTGCATTGGGTTAGATCATGCTCCTTTAGCCCAGAGGAGTTTGTTATAACCCACCTTCTGA